TATAATTAATTGTAAAAAAACAATTAACACTAATTATAAGTATAATTGAAAAAAATATCAAAAAGCTTCCAAAACATTACTTCAATTACCATTTCAGTAATTTGATTTATGTTTATCAAAAAATATATTCAAAAAATAAGCTAACTTATATTTGTCCAACACTATCTTGTATCGACTGAAAACTCCAATACCATCAATAATATAATATTTTGGTACAATAATTGTTAAAAGCTACAATCCAAAATTTATGTGACATATAAAATAATGATAAAAAATTTATTGACTTATTCTAAAATATCTTGTATTAATAAATAGATTGATGTGACAATTAATTCAAATATATAAATATATATATATATATATATATATTTATATTAATAAATACCTAAAATTGAGAGGAGGAGAAAAGGTGTGAATCACGATAGTGAGATTATTTTCTTCTTTTCTTTAATAATAATATTTATAACTATTACATTTTTTTTAATTATTAAATAATAATTTTATTTTTAATAATACCAACAAATTTAAAGAAAGATTTATTCCCTCCTTTCCAAAATAAATATTTATAATAAAAATGATATATAATTTTATAAATATGTAATCATTACACTTTTCAAATAGAAAGTGGAAATTTATTTAAAAAATGGTGAGACAAGCTAAAATAAAAATGTGGATAATTAAGGGATGTTTAAGATTGCTTATTTAAAGTGTTTATTGACTTATTCTATTGCAGTACCTGTAACAAGCATTTTTTAATGTCTGGATGGGGAAAAAAGATAATGTTTTTACCGGTGTCAAACCGATAATAAGGAGTTTTTGATAAGTTAATCTCTTATAACTTATCAGAAACAACTTATCTTATCAGCTTTGAAAACCAAATTATTTTTTAAACCCTAATAACCCTTCTCTCCTACAATGACAATCATATCCTTTGGTACAGCTCCATCCGTTCTCCAACCTCATCGGTGCCCCATCCATTCTCCGACCACATCAGCACCCCGTTCTGTTCTCCAGCCACATCAGTTCCCCGTCCACGTGACAATCCTATCCTCTGTTATTGCTCCTCCCCTTCTTTCTCCATTGTCTCCCTCCCTCCTTCCTTCACCATCCCTTTTCCCTTATCGCTCCTCCATGGTTTCATCATAATACACACCAGTCCCTCCTCCCTCACACACTCGTCCACCTTCTTCGCTGGTGGAATTACAGGGAGGATCAAGATCTCGAATCATCGAGACGATCTTGAAATCACAGGGACAATCGATCTAGATTTGGCTGTTCATATTCGGACTTTTTGCCCTAAAAAGTGACCATATATAAGCAAAATTTGCCCTAAAATGATCTTCTGTATAAGCAAAATCACAAAGACGATCAAGATCCTTTTTAGTCATTTGACATGTATAAGCAAAATTTACCAAACACTAAAAAACACCTTATCAACTTATTAAATTTTGGTACCGTATAAGCTAATCCAAACATTTTTTATAAAAACTCTAATTTAACACTACATAAGTTAATAAACACTTTGAAAAAAAAAATAAGTTGTTTAAAAACAAACCAGGAATAAAAGATTCATGCACTATGGATGACCGGTCTGAATAAGAATCCCGATCGACTTAATTCAAATGCAGCGTCGATTAAGCCGACAAAAAAAGCGGCACGTGCCACGTAACACGCATTCATTGCAATCGCATCCGCGCTTTTTTCCTTCAATACCCCTCCGACCCCACATGGGAAACGCTGCTTCCATGGCCATTGGCACCCACCATCATCACCACTCCTACTTCCTTCCTTCCTTCCATTATCTATATATATACACACATACGTTCATCTACTTATACATCTCAACTATCCAATCACATCTCTCTCTCTCTTTATCTTTTCTCTCTAAAAACATCTGGGTTTCTTACTGTTTCATCCTTCTTTCCAATTTTAAGTTACTGAAATGGAATTGAAAACTGTTGTTTCCATGGTCGCTCGTAGAGGTAGACAGTTGCAGCGTTACAATGAAGGCCAACGCCAAGTCGTTGGGTCAGTTCCTTTTTCCCTAATTTCATCTATTTTCTTGTTTAGGGTTTTTTTTAGTTTTTTCCCTAATTTGGAATCATTTGCTTTTTTTGGTTTATGGGTTTTTATCCGTAATTTGGAATAATGGGTTGTACCCTTGTTTCATTCAATCTTCAATTTAGGGGATAATATCCAATATCCATATGTCGAAAACGATGAATCGAAACAGGAATGATTGGATTTCGAATACCCACATCTTCGATTTGATTAGTTTTCGATTTCTTCGGGATAAAATCATCGAAATTTGGGAGAATGGAAGGCCAATTCGTTTGAAAATTGAAATTTGAAATTGGGGATTTTGTTTATATACTCTTTTCTTCTCGATGGAATTGAAAATTAGGGTTCTTCAAATGCAGAGAAATCATCATCATTTTGTTGAATTTGTGGGGTTTTTAAAGATTTTATATGCATTTCTTTCTTGAGTACGATTTGTTTGCTAACAAATGGTTTTTGAATCTGATGCAGATGTATACCTTACAGAATAAAAGTTAGCAAAATGGGATCAAGCAAGAATTTAGAGGATACGTTAGAAGTTCTTGTTATTAGTGCACAAAGAAAAGGCAAAGGAATGTTGTTCCCTAAGGTATACATACATTTCTTGAATATAAACCTTATCAATTTCAACATTTTCGAGTAGCATTTTATCGATCTTATCTTCGAAAATTACGATCATAACACATGGTTTTGATGTTATCAGGGTGGTTGGGAATCCGATGAATCGATGGAAGATGCCGCTCTTAGAGAATCCATGGAGGAAGCCGGAGTTTTAGGAACTGTTGAGGTTTGTTCCACATTCTAGCAAACAAATTTGACATTTTCTGCTAAAAAACAAGTGAAAGAAACAAGAAGTCAAATTGGGCAACTTTTTGCCTCTTTTCCTCATCAAAACCCTTGATTAACAGGTTCTTTTTTCTTGAATTTTTATAGGGAGTATTGGGTAAATGGTGCTTTAAAAGCAAAGGCAACAATTCGTACTACGAAGGGCATATGTTTCCGTTACGCGTGGATGAACAACTCAATTTCTGGCCTGAAAAAGATATCCGCCAAAGAGTTTGGGTGAGTGTACCAAAAGCTAGAGAAGTATGCCAATATTCATGGATGAAGGAAGCTTTGGATTTGTTAGTAACTAGACTTGAATCGTCTCCTTCGAGTAATTTATGGAGTAATTTATGAGCGTATTCACCACCTGTAAATACGGAAAGATTTCAGAAATTGGATCAGAAGATTGAGCTCCCAAATGGGTTCGTAACAAGATTTGATAAATTCTCAGATTCTACTTTCGAGTGAGATATACTGTGTCTGTTTGGTTTACAAGATTTGACGAGAAAGAAGTAACAAGAGCTAGTTTGAGGGATATTTAGGCACCCCTAACAATAGTTTTCAATTCCTTTTTGGGAAATTCATATACTTCAAGAGACATGGGTAGGAAGTGTCTCTAATTTATACTTTTGGTTCTTTAGATTTGTACAATCTTGATCATAATAATGGAAGTTTAATTCATTAGAATGGAAATTGTTATGGTGTTGTTTCTTTGATTACTTGAGAATTTATGAAACCTCGTTAGATTATTCTCCAAAAAAGCTCTTAAATGATAAGAGAATTCCAATATATATTGAGGAGAAATGTGAGGATATGCGGAACCCTTGTGCTACTCTCTTAAAAGGTCTTAAGGACTAAAGAGAGGTTCCGTTAAGTAAAAATAGTCCAAGTCTACTGATTTAAGACTCCGACAAGTAACAAGCTTTATATTTTTCCAAGCATTTTTCACAAAGCAGAGTCATCATGGAAACAACTGTTCTACTCTCTTGGGGTAAAGAACATGTCCACGTATATCCCATCTTCCAAACCCTATCTTCAGGTGAAATATACTTGGCTTTTTTGGTTTACTTATTCAATTTGAATATTTCAATAAATCTCGTTGTGAGATGGAAGATGATTTGAAAACTAGAGTTTGAGTGGTTCAGCGTCACATAACGGTACAAGTGGATCTTTAAGTTTGAGTTGGATAACATAAAAGATATCACTTCTTTTATATTTTATACTTATTTTTGGATTTCTACGTTTTTGAATCCTAGTGATCAAGATTTCTTCAAGAAGATATAAACGTTTTGATTTTACCTCGGATTCGCTATACTAGGTGAAGTACCATTTACCACAAAGTGTTCGTCTACTTATGAGTGAGTTTGAAAATCTTTGAAAAAACAGTTGTTTGTATTCATCTATTCTGATCTTTAGGACTACCAATCAAGTGTGTGCTACATTTGGCAAGACCGATTGAAGAGCCATTTCCTTGGTGACGTATCGTTTCCTGAGATGTAATAATCAACAGTTCAAGAATCGATACATTATGTCAAAATGGGTCTTTTAGGGGACACAAGCGCCCTAATAAAGTACTTAAGGGGTGTTTAATAAGTACTTATAGCCTCTTATCAGGTAAGAGATAATGTCAACGCCCTCTAACCAACAACTGGGATGCTGACCTTGTAAGAGTGGAAAGAAATACTTACTCTCAGTCGGACCATTTTAGGTTACATACCCAACTTCATCGACATAACTTGTTAGGTTACTTAACTTAATTCCAACAACTTATCGTAATAGTTTTAGATATGATAACACAGTTCTTGTTCCTATAAACTTAAAATTAGCCTATTCAACGATAACTCAATCGACATAATAGAAATTGTCAATTACCCTCTTTGAAATAGCAAAGTTTTCTCGAAGATCTAGAAATACTAGATTCCTTCTAGAAACAAAAAAAAAAAAGAGTAAACAATTAATGTTATAAAATAGAGGCATAGAAATCCACAAAATGAGTTAACTTCTAGAAGGTTGAAATCTTGATTTCGAATGGTTCCGCCCATAATAAGAAGTCTGTGGTTGCTATTGCTCTCTTGAATTGATTGCAGCTTTTATGACAAATATCTCCTTCTTCAACTCTTTGAATGGATATGCATGGTACTACGTTGCCAAGGGTAAAATGGTAATCTCACTATATTTATGTCTAGGTGTTCCATGTTTTAAGTATACGTAAGGATAAACATCATCCTCTACCGTACTACTGGTTCAGAGGCTGTTATGACAGATAGTTATTACATGGTACTGGTGGAGGTAAATAAGTGTAAGTCATGTGGTGTATAGACAGACACGGATCCACGAGATTTTGGAACGGTAGAATATAGGATAATCATGGGTTCAACATCTGAACAATCCAACTTAATGCTTGTGGTTCTTAACTTAATCCAACCCAAACGAAAGTACAACCGAACCCAACTCAAACCATACGAGTTGGTCGGGTTGATACTTTGGTACATTAAAATATTTTTCTAGCCTTGAATATATTATTTCTCTACTCATAATATCTTTTCCATTATTAACCATTTGATACAACTTATTAATATTTCTTACGTATATCACATTCAATTAATTTTCTCAATTTACGTATATATGTTTGCAGTTACTGAATATATAACGAATGAATTATATAAAGATGTGAATAGATTATAAAAATGTGTATATAAAGAGCGTACGTGATAATGTAATTGTCTAATGTATATATCAATAAAAATTCAATAATCATATTAAATCCAAGAAATAAAAGGATATCGGGTTCATCGGATTAAGTTAGATTCAAATAATAGTAACCTCATATTAACCCAATACGTACGGTTTAATAATTTTACAACTCGATTAGACATCGAGTTGCTTCGGATTAAGTTATTTGGCGTTAGGTTGGGTTGGGTTGATCGGGTTTTTGAGCACCCCTAGTAAAATACATAATATAAAATAATTAAAAAAATATGATTTAATTAATAAATGACAATCTACTACAAATTTTCCTACACGCTACTCAACTTTTAGAAGCGGTTGATAATATATATATATATACACAATTGGGATCATGTGAGACCAGCCTGTTTTCGTGAGAC